ACCTTTACAGTGATAATACAAAAATCTCTTGAAAAATCTTATTGAATTGCACAATTATTTCCAATGACATTGAATAAGCATTCAATAAATGATGAAATAAGTGTAAGGAAGACACAAATTTGTTCAGTTGACTATTAGGTTTGGAACTATCAATTTAATTTGCAGTTTCCCGGTCAATATTTCAAATTTAAAAACCACAAGTCAAAACATAACCTCAAAATGAAGTGATATTCCCAAAAAATGTTGAACATTATTTATTTCATGCAGATTTCCAACAAGATTCACTCACCTTGCTGAAACTATTCGATCCTTGTAGGGAATACATTGTACACCACTGAAAATCCTTTCAACTATGAAGGAGAAAACAGAAATCTACATTTAAGTCAAGAATCCTTCCGTCAGAATCACTACACTTCCCATCCGCGTAAAACCGTACTTCGTACTGAGGCGGACATATAACAAGATAGGAACATCGAACATCTGACTGCACTGGGTGGAGTGCCACGTTGCCACTTTTGAGACGGGAAATTACTATTTTTTTATTTAGTTATTATAAAAAAATTTAAGTGAGTAATATCAAAACTATTTACAATTTTCAAATCGAAAATTGACAAAAAACTTTATTAAAAAGTACCATAATACTTTTGCACTTCAAAAATTTGTTGACCATTTTCATCAAAAGACAAAATTATTGTAAGATACCGATTAAACTTGATCTTACTTTTTTATGTTGTTAATGTAAATATGATTGAACCTATGACATAAATACTCATAAACGATCGTTACTTCCAGTAAAGTGAAACATGTTTTGAATATTTTTCTGTATAATTTCTATTATTTTCTATTCGATTATAGTTATTCATAAATCATATTTTTTTGTGGAGAGATGTTGAACATGGAAAGTTCACAAGATTCTGTGTAATTTGATCTGTAAATAGACTATTTGATAATAATTGTAATGTGGTACGACTCAGTTTCAAATGTTGGTTCATTCAACTTTTGTCTCAGTCAATTTTTATTACTAAACCAATATTTTTCAATACTTGAGTTTTGAAAAACTTCGAAGATTGTGGAAAAAGGGTGTATTTTCCAATTTGTTGACAAATAAGTATCTCTAAGAATGAAGATTGCTATCAAGTAAACTTTTGAAAAAACGTAGATGCAAAACAGAGATTGGAACATAACACAAGAAAATTTAGGTCAACTATGGATAAGTATTATTGCTACTGTTTTTTTGTAATATGTATGATGATATGATTTGCTACGTTAGTTTTTCACGAAACCAAAGCTGTTCTTAGAGACTTCATTTCTGGAAATTATTTTTGATGTTGCTCTCAGACCCACAAATGAGTTTATTAAGATCTAAGAAATATTCCAAGGAGACGCAGATAGATATTCTCAACACGGTAAATTTCTATCACATCGCAAAATTATTACAAGTTTTCTCCAGAAGGTGATCTGTAAACAATAATCATATCGAAAGATCCTTGAATGTGTCTATTCTCATTATATTTATCAAATATATTGAACGTCACTTTGAGTCACTGTAAAAAAATGGATCGTAAAATAAAAAATTATTTGTATTTTTCCTAACTCTATATATACAATGATTTATGAAAGATCTGGCAACATGTCGGAACGTGTGCATGAGATTGCATTAAATCCAGAATGGACGCCTGCGTTTTATTTAAAATAAGTGTAAGAATTTGATTTGGATAGATTGATTAGATATGCTCTCAAATCATTTTCGAAATATTGTACTCAGACTGTTTTATTACCAGAATCCAATAATATTGCTCCTTTGCATAACTAACAGCATATTTATTTGTTCTCATAAGTGATTGAATCAAAATGTATTCATTTGTAGGATCAACTGATAATTTTCAAAACAAAACATATCTCCTTATTAGAGATATATAAATCACTCATATGATTATGAAATAAAAAGCAACGTAATTTTTTCGAACTTAACTTTTGGTTGTATTATGCAAGTTTTTTATTGACTACTTTTTTTTGGATCTCCCACATCATCAATTTTTCTTTGCATAAAGTTTAGAATACTGTTAGAAAAAATTTAAACGAGTTTGGTAAATCACGTTTTTTTAGCAAGTCTTCGGAAGTATGTAAAATTTTTCTCAACAGCATGTTGATAACCCTTAACTCCTGAAGTATATATTGGTCAAATTGGCAGAACATTCAGTAATCGAATCCAGGAACATCATATGTCATAGTGTCTTTTCTACTTATGCAGGGAGCAACTGAATCTTACTAAATCACATTCAACGTGAAACATAAAGGGGCGAATGTCAAAAAAACTGGACGGTCTACAAAACGATAACACTGTCGAAATTTTATGGGTTGTTTCAAAAGTTTTGTCAGTTTGAACTGCAATATACCAGTGAATGCTCATTGAATTTGATCGAAGTAAGCGTCATTCGAATTAATGCACTTTTGCAAACCTGAAACAAGTCGATTAATTCCGTCAACATAAAATTTGCATACTCGGGATTTGATGAAGTCGACGAAGGCCGTTTCTGCCTGGTCTGATTATAAAAGTGCTTTGAAATATAGTAGTCGGTTGGCGAGAGGTCTGGGGAGTATGGTGGATGAGGCAGAATTACTACGTCCGATTTGTTCAATTTTCGGACGGTGATTTGTGAAACGTGCGGGCAGCCTTGTGGGGCAGAATCAGACCTCTTCTGTTGACCAGTTCCAGCTGCTGAATATGCAATTTTAGGTACATTAAGTCGATTTCCTCACTATTCAACTCTGATGTGATGGTTTGGCTCGGTTGCAGAAAGTTATAGTGAATAACACCANTCCATTTTCCCTTCAAATTTCTTGATCGCATAAGAGGAGTCGATATAGATGATTCATTCTGAAGCCTATTTTGAAAAATAAAATTATCGTTGATTTTGCCGAATTTATTTCTAGTAAATTTCAGAGAACTTATTTTTCGAGGATTTTCAATTAGTAGGATTAAATCAATGTTCGTATTTTCCAAAATGAACACAATTTGATATGACCTTCTGCCGAAACCAGTAATGTAAATACAAATAAATCCGTGTTCAAAGGAAATGTACTAGAATTGATCACATCTGCTGTATAATAATTCATCACTATTCAATTTGAAGTTCGTACGGAGTACCAGAGAAAAAACGTATAGTGAATTAGTTACTTATTTTTTCTTCTTTTCTCTTGGTAGATTTCCCGAATTACATTCTATATTTCTCTTCACTTCTCATGAATCTGGGTGAGTGAAGACGATAACATCCCCCCTAACGAAGACACCATCCTTTTGATCGATAAAAGAATCAATCCACGTATAAAAAATAAACGAGGATCCTGAGGAAGTTTGCAAATCATAGTTTCAACATCAACCGCCGAATAATATTCGTTTTCTGTCTTCCGCTGCGGATTCTGATCCTGTTGAATGCCTATTTCTAATATCTCGTTCTTCATTCTCACGCACTTTTAATTGTCTTGAAGTTTCACCAATATAACTTCCACCAAAAGTACATTTTCTATTATAAATGTATTTTTTGTTCTTTCTTCTGCGTGGTTAGGTTTTGTTGTTTCATACATATGTTTCAAATTGAGGAAGGAAAGAAAACCAAAAATGGTTGTTATTTTTCTATGTTCTTTATTGTCTGATAATGAATACGATATTTATCTACCTAGCTTGTAATATCCTCCAAAGCACGTTGGACGTTGTTCACAGTTGGTGCCTGATGGAGTATATGTCTGTCAACCCCAGCAAAACTATGATAAGCACCTTCACCAGGAGGAGAAAATAGGACGATCCTATGGTGAGGTCATTCCTTTTGGAACGGAAGTGTAATATCTCGGCATTGTTCTTGATAAAAAACTCACCTGGAACCCTCACTTGGAAAAATTTTTAGACAAAGCCAGTCTGTCCCTATGGACATGTCGAAGAATTTGTGGTAAAACTTGGGGTGTAGGTCCCAAACAAATCCATTGGATTTATGTTATGATTGTCAAACCAATGATCACTTATGTTACAATTGCCTGGTGGCCGAAGGCTTTACAGAAAACAGCCCAGGCGAAGCTCTCTGGGTGTCATGGAGATCCTTCTGGATCTACCTCCTCTTCACATTTTTCTAGAAAGAGAGGCAAGATGGGCTGCATATAGACTTGTGCACATTGGATCCTCCAGGAGAAGGAAATATTGAGAGCTGATAGTTGTTGGTTCACAGATGGATCAGGTGTTTTTAGTCGCAGACCCAGGACAGAGATATCAATCTGGTTAGGAACCTATGCTACTGTATTTCAAGCGGAAGTTTACGCTTGTGTGCGTGGAAGAACCCAACCTCATACATAAGTCAATGAAAATATTCTCGGACAGTCAAGCATCGTTGGAAGCTCTTGGCTCCTGCCAGACAACGTCTAAATTGGTAGCAAATTGCTAAAAACGACTCTCTTCGATAGGAAGACTTAATAGATTGTCTCTGGTCTGGATTCCTGGCCTGGAAGGCACTGAGGCTGCTGACTCCTTTGCAAAGGAGGGTGCTGCAAGTAGCTTCATCGGACCAGAACCTATCATTGGCATCGCTTTAGGCCTTGCCAAACAAAGATTGAGCACCTGGATGGCAGAGCCGAACTCTTACCATCTGACCTGAAATACCACTCACCATACAAACTAATCGGCTTCGTTAAGAGGCTGGGTTTATTTGATCGAGTGTGAATAGGTGTGAGCCATCATAAACCCTTGCGGGTTGCGGTGGAGGGTCGATTAGATATTAGTACTCACTTTGGACCTAACGTAACCTTACTTATCAATTTATTGTAGATGTCTTGATAAAGGGAATAAACATTCTCGAAAGCTCGACCATATAACAAAGAGTATTTTTTAAACAACAGCCCAGCAATTTTGACTGCATCCCCAACATTATTCCGTATTTCTCCTTAACTAGTCAGTCAAGACTACCCATATATATATATAAATTGGCTTCGCGTATTGTAAAAATAACACATTTTGATTAAAGTTATTTCAAAGTTTTAATGACATCTGCATATAATAACAAAATAGAATAACATTCATTTATATTTGCACCGTTGCTTTCGATTTCCTGAGATATTTGTAAAAAACACATTCTAGTACATAAAGTGAGATACACATGCAGTTCTTGGGTTTTGAGGGATACCCTTTACAATTTATTGGAAACCTATAAGTAAAATCAAATTAATAAACCTATAATTCAATTCTCAAATCAGTTACTGGATCATTTATCACTGATCTCCAGAGTTGAATTCTTTCTGGGTAAATTCCAGATCTCATTTCCGTTGATTTTTCATCGATGTAATAGTATTCCTCATTTCTCAAGGAGTATGGAGTCCATAGTTCGGGAATTATATCGGTTACCTCAGGCGATGGGTTTCTGGAAAAAATTGAATTGGTTTCAGAGAGTTATTATTGAATATTCGATAACCATACTTCGATTGCTTGAGAGTATTAACAAACTCAAAATTCAAGACTATCGATTTGGGTAAAATAGTAAAACATAAGAACAAAACAATGGAAAGAGCTGATGGAAAATCAATTTTGAGAAACTGAATATGGAAAAAAAGTCAGTGAAGTATCAAGACCCGGGTCCAGAAATCAATCACTTAGAAATACAGGAGGATCGTAGGAAAACTATTATTTTTGCCAAGATTTCATATTTATTGCTTCAGATACTACTCTACAGATACAGATTTGCTTCATTCTCGGGGGCTATGTGTGAAATTACATTATCGACTACAGTTTCTTAAAGATTTTTAATGAATTTTCACACTTTCAATAATATGTGTCGACTCTGAACTAGGAAAAAGCAAGGTAAACAGACTCACAAACAAGGGTTACAAGTGTGATGTGTGAATTTTGATTCGAAATATTTTCATTTTGGTATTTTTTCAATTTACGTGCTCTCAATATTTCATTTAAGAATACTAACATTTGTTCCAATCTCAATATGCACTTTTTTTGAGTCATGATACAATGTTTTGTTTTCTAGATATCATTTCTGATTCAATTCCATTTTTTCACGTCTACTTCAGCTGTTTTTTCACAAATGCTCTTTTGGTTATCATTCTTAATGGGTTTTGTATTTTGTAAGGCCTCGTATTCATATGAATTCACATTCATACTTCAGTATTTCTTCAACTTCGAATATTCCAAGTCTAATTCATTTTATTCATTCAAAGATTTCAAATTTGCTAATATTTTCAGAAATTGAAACTCCGATTTCCTCAAAATGCAAAACAATAAAAGTACAATAAGTTCTAAGAAAAAATAATGTCACTTGTTATAGCCCAGCAAATTCAGTTCTTCATCAAGCTGACAATCGAAATCTACATCATCTTGTTCTAACTTACCCGGTTTTTGCAAAGTTTGCCCAGAGTGTTGTTAAAAGTTCTGCAGTTCGTTTATCCTCTTCGGAAGGTGGAACATCTGGAAACAGTCCATCTCCAAGAGGAAATAGATACTGTAACTCATCAGCATGACATACTCCTAGAATGAAAAAGTTATTTAAATTCACCCCATTCATCAGTTTGTGTACTGCGGTAATACGAAGATGATACCAAAATAAATTTATTTCAAAAAACTCAATAAACCGACACACAGTCATCGATATGGCTTCATCGCCTTCAAAATCAGTGACACTGCAAGAAATAAATATTTTTCAGTACACGTATTACTTTTCGTAACAGTCATCAGGTATATTTGATATCTGTTTGATTTTTGCTACATATAATGCTTCTTCGCTTAGAGCTTCATTTACGAAAATAGCTGTTACTACTTATTATAGATGAACCAGATCCTATCTCAGAAGGTTTCATAATTTCAGTACCCTCAATTTTCTTCGAAAGTCCTGGTGTACTCATTCACTCACTAAAGCCCCCTTCCGAAGTGTGGGGGGGCTTAGAATCACACATCCTATGCTGCTGACTCCCTTGCAAAGGAGGGTGCTGCAAGCAGCTTCATCAGACCAGAACCTGTCATTGGCATGGCTTTAGGTTTTGCCAATCATTGAACACCTGGATGACAAGAATATTTAAAGACTTTTGACAACATCTTCCAGGATTGGCTCACTCCAAGGCGTTCATTCACCCTTCGAAACTTGATTCCAAATAGTTGTTGGACTACAGTAGGGATGAACTACGATATCCAACAGGCCTTCTCACAGGTCACTGTCGTCTGAATCATCATATGTAGAGACTCGGACTGTTGATTACTTTTTCAAAGCAACCTGTTCTGCATTCAAACTTAAATCATATATTTTCAAACTAGAGTATACCTACGATACGAGAAGGGAAGACGGGTCATTTTAGAACACCATTTGCCTCAAAGTCTATTGGTCAACGGTGTTATACCCATTTGGTTGCATATTCTAGCACGTAAACCTGAAGTCATCCTGATGAAAATCAGAAGAGAGCCTCCTGACTGGATGGTACATTTAGTATAACCGATCGGGAGTGGATTATTGTTCACTAAAAAATTTAGGCAGGCACTTTGTACCTGCCCCACACTCAAAAATCAGTTTATTGACAGTAGGTAGCGCTAATGTTAGTCGATCTATTCGACGCAAACTGATTCAAGAAAATAATTTCATGAAATGGATACTTACCGTAGTCCGTGTCTCCTCCATTGAAAATTTTTGTCATACTAGTACTTCCTCGGTACCCAAATAGATAATAATACACAGGGCTCTGGTAATACTTGGTCTGTAGTCTCACCACGTCATCGGCACCTTTGAGAAACCAGCCATCAGTATAAAGCTGAAAATTATCACAATAATGTAATCTGATATAGAATTGAGATTTTAGGTCAAAGAATTTCACTTCTGTCAGAAAATATTGAATTCAGAGTTGAGAATAGTAGTCCGGAATGTAGTTACCTGTAGTATAAAAATATTACCGTAAGAAGCAACTTGTAGTATTCAAATCAATGTTGAAGAAGCTACTGTGTTAGCGGTACATGTCGTGATATATTTTCCAAATGAAGTTTGTAGAGATCAAATCGTGAGGTGTGGTTTATGCAATTACTACGAATCAATCAGGAAATACTATAAAAATTATATCGAAAAAAAAATGGAGACTAAATATCGATTTCATTTAATTTCATGGTTTTCCCCTTGTGACGAGACGGATATCTCCAAAATTCAGAGGAAAATTACCTAAAAATATTCTGGTGATTTTTATCGCGGAAGAGTCTTCCTTGGAAGGTTACTAAGAAATATTGGCCGGAAACATGCTTACAGAATTATAATTATAATATGTCACATACAGTTGGAACCATATAGAAAACGTTTTCATTATAAATTCTAGAAAAAAAGTGTTTCTTCCATGAAGAATCAAAAGACATGCAAGAACCAAAACCTGAAACGCAACCATTGGTTATCAAGTTCCTTCATTATTATATGAGGTTTGTCAAAAATATATTAATTTTGTTCAGGAGTGAAGTATATTTGGGAAAAAATTCAATGTTAAGAACTTCCGGAATAAGGAAAAAACGTTATATATGAAAGTACACTGTTATAAAATGTAACTCACATGGAAATTGTATGCGGAAATATTGGAAGATTCCAATCTCATACACAAGTCAATAAAACAGTCAAGCGGCGTTGGAAGGAAGCTCTTGGCTCCTACCGAGCAACGTCTAATTGGTAGCAAATTGTCAAAAACGACTTTCCTCGATAGGAAGACTTAATAGAGTGTGTCTGGGCTGGATTCCTGACCATACTGGCCTGGAAGGCAATGAGACTGCTGACTCCCTTGCAAAGGAGGGTGCTGCAAGAAGCTTCATCGAACCAGAACTTGTCATTACCATCGCTTTAGGTTTTGCCAAACAAACATTGAACACGTGGATGGCAAGAAAATTTATGGAATTCTCGCAGAACCTTCCAGGATTGGCTCACTCCAAAGAGTTTATCCACCCTTCGAAGCTTGACAGCAAACATTTGTTGGACTACAGTAGGGATAAACTACGATGTCTTGTAGGTCACTCTCATTTGAATCATCATATGCATCAGAGACTCGGACTGTCGGGAGACAGTGTGTGTCGCCTCTGTTTGGAAAATGATGAAACAGCACAGCACATACTTTGTGCCTGCCCCGCTGGGGATCAAATCAGGTTTTTAGAGTTCGGCAGAGCCGTACTCTTACCATCTGACCTGAAAGACCACTCACCATACAAACTAATCGGCTTCGTTAAAAAGCTGGGTTTATTTGGTCGAGTGTGAATAGGTGTGAGTCACAATAAACCCTTGCGGGTTACGGTGGAGGGTCGAATAGACCCACTCACTTCTGACCTAACCTAACCTACTTGGAAATGTATCATCTGTAAGATGTACTTCTCGAGTTTTGGGTCATAAACACCTTGTTCTACTCCTTATCAACACCTGTTTGAACTTCTGAAAACGAAAACACACGCATTTCTCGCTCAAGAGTATGACTCTGTGTTATCGAAAGAGGCAGAAATTACCGTAATTTCCGACAGTACCACTGAATACGACTGAAAAGAGTTGACCAGACATGAAAATATCGCTAATTTAATATTTTTTATTTCTCGGAGCAACTCTATAATGGAAATTCAATTATTCATATAGAAATATTGGAAAATGAATGCATTTTCGTATATATATTGATCTAAAGAGATCAATGTTCATTATGGAAATTACCAAAATTGAAATTCATTCACAGATTATTAAATTTTGGTGAAAAATTGCAAAACCTATTTTTCCATTGTAAATTGATGCAATGGCATATATGAACGCATTCATGATGCAATGGCATATAAAGGTTCTGGTAAACTTAATATTTTTTGACGAACCTCGTATACAACTGTTCGGGTTTTGTTCAGGAAAGAGAGGTTTTGATTTCCTACTCCTACTCTTTATATAAAAAAGTGGGAAACCTATAAAGGAAAGAAAGAAGTAATTGTTGATTTTTCACACAGAATAACTTTTTTCCTAAAATACTCAATAATAAAAAAAATGAATATATGGTTTCAACTTATTCAGTATTTCTATGGCAGTATATTCAAATAGAACACATAACTTCTCTGATCTAATGGCAGAAAACAATCGTAATTAAAAAAGTAGAATCCCTCCAAGACAATATCTGAAAGTAGAGACGCTAATCCATCAAAGTTGGAATTATTTTTTTTTTTTAAATTGGCCGGGTAAATTTTTTCCAATATGATAACTATGAGTTATTTTATGATAAATTCATAACCAACCAATTTATATGTGAATTGAAACAAACTATTCACGAAGATTGGTAAATATATATGAACAATCTAGTTCCAAAGTAAATTCTCTACGAAAATCACATGAAAATAGTGGTTACCCAAATTCTACCCGATGGAACAATCACTAATTGAATTACGATTGAACTAAATGCCAACATTGATTTTGATACCACTGGAAAGCTTACTTTCGAACCCTGATTCAAGCAGAAATTGAAGGATGCAGCATTTCAATGTCGAGATTAACACAATGTGGAGGTGCGATTGACTATTTTTATTTGTTGCGTTCCTAACTTACTGATTAGGATTAAATACTTCAGAAACAAGTAAGTACTGAACAATGACAAAGTAGGCTGTTATCATGACTTTCGAATCATTGGAGAATGAATTATCAAAGCTATTACATTCCAGATGAATATGTTATACAACTTTGATCAACTCTACTTACATTCACAACATCACCAATAGTCGATGAATCTATCTTTTTATTTCCAAAATAGAATTTCCTCAAATTCCTTGTTATGGTGTCAGTATTTTCTACATATCTATCAAACTCGAATGATATAGGAACAAGTTCATCAAATCTCTCATCAAACTCACTAGTAAGGTTGAAGTTTTCATACCCTGAAAATAATTCGATTTTTTGTTAGTCATTTGGAATTTATATGTAATACCTATGACTACGTTCAACTCAAAAGTTCGTTACATCTCATTTTATCAGGAAAATCAAGTAAAGATATCTACTGCTATAAAATTGTCTAGAGTCTTAATAAAAATGAATTGAAATATAAAGTGAAATGGCTGAAAGGTATCAAAAAGGTAAGACCTTGTTAATCCTTTGCTCACACAAGTTTCAACTTCTGAGAATTGTCGTTCGTAGATGGCGACAGCTGGTTGACGGAAGAACAGATTTTTTCCAATAAATCAATTTTTATTTTTGGAAATACAGTTTTTTTAATATTGCATCCTGGTCGTCCGTATCAAGGAGATATCAAGGAAATACCAAAGTTACAAAAATGGCAACAACAATATATGAACATACGTACATATAGCAAGCGCTAAACGTGATGGCGAGCGATCACGCAGGTATAGACTCTCCCAACTAAATTACTATTGGATTACGATAAACCTCTTTCTGGCAGTGTAGTAGCTATAATTAGTTTGATTTAGGGTAGTAAATGGAACATGAGTTCTATGTAATTTCTTTTCATATTTTATTTGTATTATAGGTAAAATAGTACAGTTCATTAAAATGTTATATAAAGATACACTCTTGATGACTAGAAACAACACGAATTATTTAGTCAATGCCAAAAGCCAACCGCATTGGAGGACAAGTAATGTACAGAGTATTTGTTTGTCTTGCAAGAGCTTTAGTGAGGGTTACATTGTAAATGACTTTGTGTGCATGGAGGCGGGCTTGCCATCACGTTTGGCGCTTGCTGTATACTATGTTATCATATGTCTTCATGTCTACAAACCTGTGTATTACAAATGACTACTTCTAGCAGGTTCACAAAATCAGCAGGATAACCCCTCAGGAGTAAAATCTTTTACTTAACCTGATATCTCAGGAAACAGACAGAATGGAAACTTATGAAAATAAAAAAGCAAAGAAACACAACCAAATTGAATGAGAATATCTATTTTAGCAGACATCGAAGGACAATGAGAGTTCTTAAATTACAAACTTGTAAGCCTAAGTGATAATACTTACTTGTAATTCATAAGACAGGTTTGATTCACTCATTGAAGGAATTTGGGAAGTAGGATATTCTTAAGAAGAAAACAATTCATATATGGGTAGAGATAGCCCATTAACTACTATGTAACTAGTAATCTGTATCACGATATTTTATGAAAAAGTCTCAAGATAACGTTCGTCCAGAATAAGGAGGGCCAGAATGGGAGAGTCGGAAATCGTGAAAGATACGAATTTGGTATAATTAAAAAAAGTTTTTGTCTGATGTCATTGAAAAAAATATTAAAAACTCAATCTAAACTTTTTAAGTATCAAACAAGCTCAATTGAACCGACTTTTGTCTCTTAAATGGTTTCTGATTTTCCCTTGCTAGTCAACCTTATCTTGGACACTCTGCATTACCTCAGTGATCAACCCTCCTGAAAACTATTGAACTTCGAGAATGTCTCTGCATTTGAACTTTCAAATAGACTATATGCGTTGTTGCCATTATTACACAAGACAATTATGATTCATACATTCCTTGTTCTGAAAATTACTATTGAATAATATTTCGTTATTTCATGGAATGTTTTTCCGTAAACACATTACTGAGCTCAGTACAGAATTTCACAAGCACCAGATTTGATTTAACAATGCAAAAAATTTGCACATGCAAAAACACTTCTTCCATACTGTCTCTTCCAGTATAGAACATCTCCTGATGATGCCAACTTGGTTGGTAAAACGTGTTTTGAGAGGTGCGTGGGAAGATTACTCCTTACCTGCTACTTTCAAACTGCCATCTTCTGTATTCAACCCAACTATTATGGGTACATCCATACTTTGTCCGGATTTAATCAAATTGAGTGGATGATCAGGTAGAAAAGCACCTTCATGTTTTGGTTCCACTGATGGTTTAAAGGGTATCATTGGATCGTAGTCCCATACCTTGGAATGAAAATGAAGTTGAAAATGCTCTCATACTGTAGTCGAGAGACACTAATTATCATATAAAATAGAATTTTAAAATTGTTTACAAATACACTTCAAATTGGAGTTTATTGATTACTGTAATTAAATCTGAGTATCATTAGGTAACCCTATTCTATTCTACTTTTTCTTTGACTGTAAATCTGGAATCAATAGCAACATTTTCTAATTTCTTTTTGGCATTCTTTCAAGATTTTTTCCAGTGTCGATTCAGTTTTGGTAAGAACCTCCAGTTTTTCACAAACAAAAATGTATATGTGAAACAATTTTTCGCCTTTGTTGGCTGTGATTTGTAGGTTTTTATGCCTAAGGTTTTGTCCTCAACTGCGGTAGGGCTAGCCAAAGCCAACTAACGATGTGCTTTAGTTATCCTTACTGCTCATACTACTCTGTCCCGGGTTTCGGTCTCCGGCTTCATTCCATCGGTGATTGGCGTGGCTTCGTTTTTATTTGGCAAATTAATTGGCTAAATTTGTGTATAGTTGAATGCAGGTAGCCAGATTTTGTTTACGTTAACTTCCACTCCCTTCTGGTCGAAACTCTCTGTGTTTCAGAATACCCTACATATCATAAACTAGTAATGATATAAACTAATAATGATTACAGCTTCTGTTGCTCTTTTTCAAATATCGATAATTCATTCTGGAAAGCAAATTTGTTCAATTATGAATGCTATATTAAAATTATATATTGAAATTAAAAACAACAAACAAGAATCTCACCTTGAAGATTTCATCTTGTTCTATAATAGTGACTGGATCGACTTTTCTTAGACATTCCACCATATCTTTTCTAGGTTGGGTGGGACAATCTAAAGCAATGGCTAATTTCTCTGAATTCTTGAGGCCCTCGTTGTTTTCTGAGAACGCCCAAGGACACAATGTTGTGCCACTTTCAAGTATTGCTCCTTTGAAGAGACCTAGCAAGTAATGAAATTTATAAAGATACTCTGGTAGGAGTTGTGATGAAAATACTATGTCGGAATTGTTTTATTTTTGAATGGTTGTTTGTTGAAACTTTTGATAGTATATGGTAGTTTATTGAACTAATAGAAAATTTCATATCAGTTGATGGTGTGTATGTTGATAGATCTCATGTTATATTGATAAATATTCATATCGAACACAAAATATCTTTGAAAATATGCAGATGTCGAAGAATTGTGATCTGTATTCTTCAGACAGAAGAACCAGCACAATAATTCAAGGCTCAAACGCTTTTGTACAAACTGCATACGTGTTCAAGAGGTTAAAATTCCAAGATATTTTCATTGAAAACAAAAGATGAGTAAGTCATATTGTCATATTAGTTCATATTTATTTCTATTAGAAATGCTGATTATACCCTAAAATGCTAAATTTTCGCAAAAAAACATTCCTTCAATCGAACGCTCGATGGATTTTGTCGTATGGGGTTATTTGAGCAAAAATTTTATAAAAATCACCGAGATTCAGCGTGAAGGTGATTACTGCTTATATATGGAAGCACAATTTATATGAAATACCAGTAAAGACGTTAGCTAATTTTTTCAATCTTAATTTGAAGTGTTTTGAATTTTTCGGTGTCTTCATATGAGTATATCATGAACAATATCTCTATTAGTATTATATACATACTTTTTGAAGATGGTTTTCATCAGGTTAATATTATTTATTTTATGAATGTACAGATTTTGTACAGATCAGGTAAGTAATTAAAAATTTTTGCACTGTGGTATTTGTAAGAGTGTTGCCTCTTCTGACTCAACTGACTTTTTTGTTGCGTTTAGCTGTACATCACCTTTTGTTTTAGTGCGAATATTATAATCATGGCCGATTTACTGAAGAGATGTTTCATTTTTGAAGATATACAATATTATATTATACATATATAACTGTCGTACATCAAGTAGCTTTGAATCTCTAAAAATATAATTAGAGCGGTAGTCATTCTTTCTATTGTACATAATTTTAATCATTTTTTTGTAACACCTCAGCTTTTTTCAGGTGGATGTCTAATATGCCACCCCAACTGAGTATGGCATATTGGAGCCTAGATTGTACCAATGCGTAGTATATTATTTTAAGGTGATTGATATCGAGAACGGATCTCAAGTACTTGAATTTATACAATAAACATCTCAATGATTTAGTTTTAATATGTTCATTCCATCTGAGATGTGAATCAATTTGACTCCCAGGTATTTAATGTGGCCTGTTCTTAGGACTTCTATTTTTTTCCGTGGTTATTTATTATTAATTCATTATAGTTGGGTAGTTGATTTTCGTAACTAGCAAAGGGTAGACATTTTTTTTCAAAATTGATTGTAAGTGACTTCAAACCAGTCTTTCAATACATTAATTTGTGTTTCAACCTTCATTTTCAGTTTTTCCCAATTATCGTCAGTATATATTATGGCCGTATCATCTGCAAAACTGTAAATGGAACCATCTATCTTCATAGTAAGTAGGCTGTTGATATATAATGAAAATAATGTAGGTCCAATCATCGTATTCCTGATTTATTTAATACCTCCAACAACTGATCGTGGTCAACAGTGATCGTGGCCAACAACAATGAAATCATAATTTGTTAAAAATTTTAAAAAATATTTGGTCTCAACTTGAATTGGAATTACCTCTGCTTAACGGGGACAACATATGATATTGTGAACTGGCTCCTCCGGCAGATTCACCAAAGATAGTGATGCTCTCGGGGTCTCCGCCAAACTTTGCTATATTTTTCTTCGTCCATTTTAAAGCCAAATTTTGATCCTTCAAACCATTGTTGCCTGGGACGACTTCATCTCCTGTTGTTAAGAATCCCAAAGCACCTGAAAATTGAAATAAAATGCATACTTCGAATACATAAACCTGAACCTCCAATTCGTCAAGTCTTTTCTAGAAAACTTCGATACTAGAGTTTTCACCTTCGGAAAATTGAAAAATTATGTTCTCCATATAAATACAAACTGCTCGTATACAGAGACGAAGTTTGAAAATGAGGTTTGAAGTTGTCATTGTAACGAGTTGGAAAAGTAACAGAATCTAGTTCATTTTGGTGTCCATTAGGGGTACCGCAGAGATTCCGTATGGGCCCACTGCTGTTCAAGTTGTTTATGTCAGACCTTTTCCATGTGGTGTAGAGGTAAACATTGATGAGTGTCAAATCATAACGTTCGCTAAAATTAGAAGTCCAATATTCTTTGAATATTCATTGAATAAGCTGGCTCTTAAAAGACAAACATTTATTCGCGATGTGGGAATTGAACTTGATAGCGAAATTAATTCTAATCTTCAATTATCAGAAATTGTGGGAAAAAGTCTCAAAATGCTAAGTTTTGTGTTGAGAATTTCTACTGATTTTTCAATTGAAACAAAAAAGATTTCATATTGTGCTTTCGTAAGATCCATTCTTGAATATTGTTCAGTTATAAGGTTTAGGAATTGTGCTTTTCACTTTGGTATGCAATGAAATGAATATGAGTAGAGTCAACTCTTAACCAAGATAAATATAAAATCATTGGAAGATAGGAGAATTTCTATGAACTTGAGTATCCTCTTCAAATTATTAAATAGTGAGATAAACTGCCCAGAACTACTTCAACTAATAACTTTTCATATCAAACAAAAAAATACGAGAAATCCTGACATTTTTCATATAAATTTTTTCCAAATCAATTATGCTTTGAAGCTGGGAAGATCATCAATATCATTGGAAAATGGCAAACTCAATGAAATCACTATTCTATAAAGGACTTGATGA